AATGGAGTTTACACAGTAGCAATATTGGGATTTTTTTTAGAAGGGTTAACCCATGATTTTGGTGGAAAAATGAAAATTTTATCTTTGTTTTTGGACAAAATAGGCCTAGAAAAGGTGTTTTGAGATCTTTGAGAAAGAAAACAAGCCCTCCTAGACTGTAAAAATATGACTTTTCATAGACACCACATTGTTTTTTTTTTCAAACGGGGTAACCCATGACTTTGGTCAAAACATGGAAATTTTATCTTTGTATGTTTTTGGATAAATGGCACTTGAAATAATGTTTGACGATCATTGAGGTAGAAAACAAACCCTCATTGACTATAAAAATTTCGCTATTACAAAGTCACCATACTAAGATTTTGCGGTTAAACCAAGACTTAGGTTAAAAATTGGAAATTTCCTCTTTGTTTGTTTTTTGTCAAAATACTATGTCTAGAAATAATGTCTGATGATCATCAAAAATCAAGCCCTCAGCCAATCAAAGGTGCTAGCAACATTTTCTCTTGCAACAAATTTTTCAGCCTGTATAAATTTTTGTCCGAAGTCAGTCAGCCAGTCAGCTATGGATTCAGTCAGTCAGTCTATCAGCCAGTCAGCCAGTCAGTAAAACAGTCAGAAAGTTAGTCAACCAGTCAATCTGTTAGTCAGTCAGTCAGCCAGTTAGTCAGTCAGTCAATCAGTCAGCCAGTTACTCCCTCAGTCAGTCTGCTAGTCAACCAGTCAATTAGTTAGTCAGTCAGTCAATCAGTCAGTCAGTCAGTCAGTCAGTCAGTGTGTCAGTCATTTTTTTTTTTCGGTTAAATGGGCATTGAAATAATGTTTGACGATCATGTAGTTAACGAAAAAGCCCATCAAGACTAAAAAAATATTGATTTTACATAGTTGTCATACTGAGATCTTTTTTGAAGTATTGGAGAAAAATCGGAAATTTTCCTTTTTGTTTGTTTGTTTGTTTTTTGAACAAAATAAGCCTAAAAATAATGTCTGATGATCATCTTGTCAGAAAACAAGCCCTAAAATACTATAAAAAATGGAGTTTACACAGTAGCAATATTGGGATTTTTTTTAGAAGGGTTAACCCATGATTTTGGTCGAAAAATGAAAATTTTATCTTAGTTTGTTTTTGGACAAAATAGGCCTAGAAAAGGTGTTTTGAGATCTTTGAGGAAGAAAACAAGCCCTCCTAGACTGTAAAAATATGACTTTTCATAGACACCACATTGCTTTTTTCTCAAAGGGGGTAACCCATGACTTTGGTCAAAACATGGACATTTTATCTTTGTATGTTTTTGGATAAATGGCACTTGAAATAATGTTTGACGATCATTGAGGTAGAAAACAAACCCTCATTGACTATAAAAATTTCGCTCTTACAAAGTCACCATACTAAGATTTTGCGGTTACACCAAGACTTAGGTTAAAAATTGGAAATTTCGTCTTTGTTTGTTTTTTGTCAAAATACTATGTCTAGAAATAATGTCTGATGATCATCAAAAATCAAGCCCTCAGCCAATCAAAGGTGCTAGCAACATTTTCTCTTGCAACAAATTTTTCAGCCTGTATAAATTTTTGTCCAAAGTCAGTCAGCCTGTCAGCTCTGCATTCAGTCAGTCACTCAGCCAGTTAGTCAACCAGTCAGCTAGTTAGTCAGTCAGTCTATCAGCCAGTCAGTCAGTCAGTCAAACAGTCAGAAAGTTAGTCAACCAGTCAATCTGTTAGTCAGTCAGTCAATCAGTCAGCCAGTTAGTCACTCAGTCAATCAGTCAGCCAGTTACTCCCTCAGTCAGTCTCCTAGTCAACCAGTCAGTACGTTAGTCTGTCAGCCAGCCAGTTAAACAGTCAGTCAATCAGTTAGTCAACCAGTCAATCAGTTAGTCAGTCAGTCAGTCAGTTAGTCAACCAGTCAATTAGTTAGTCAGTCAGTCAGTCAGTCAGTGTGTCAGTCATTTTGTTTTTTGGTTAAATGGGCATTGAAATAATGTTTGACGATCATGTAGTTAACGAAACAGCCCATCAAGACTAAAAAAATATTGATTTTACATAGTTGTCATACTGAGATCTTTTTTGAAGTATTGGAGAAAAATTGGAAATTTTCCTTTTTGTTTGTTCGTTTGTTTTTTTAACAGAATAAGCCTAAAAATAATGTCTGATGATCATCTTGTCAGAAAACAAGCCCTAAAATACTATAAAAAATGGAGTTTACACAGTAGCAATATTGGGATTTTTTTCAGAAGGGTTAACCCATGATTTTGGTCGAAAAAATTAATGAAAATTTTATCTTAGTTTGTTTTTGGACAAAATAGGCCTAGAAAAAGTGTTTTGAGATCTTTGAGGAAGAAAACAAGCACTCCTAGATGGTAAAAATATGACTTTTCATAGACGCCCATTGGTTTTTTTCAAAGGGGTTAACCGATGATTTTGGTCAAAACATGGAAATTTTATCTTTGTATATTTTTGTACAAATGGTCCTTGAAATAATGTTTGAGGATCATTGAGGAAGAAAACAAGTCCTCTTTGACTATAAAAATTTGGCTATTACAAAGTCGCCATACTGAAAATTTTTCAAAGGAGTTAACCTGACCCAAGATTTTGGTTAAAAATTGGAAATTACCTCTTTGTTTGTTTTTTTTTTGGCCAAAATAAGTCTAGAAATAATGTCTGATGATCATTTAGTTAAAAGTCAAGCCAATCAAAGGTGCTAGCAACGTTTTCTCTTTCAACAAATTATTCAGCCTGTATAAATTTTTGTCCAAAGTCAGTCAGCCAGTCAGCTATGGATTCAGTCAGTCAGCAAGTCAGTCAGTCAGCCAGTAAGTCAACCAGTCACCTAGTTAGTCAGTCAGTCTGTCAGTCAGTCAGCCAGTCAGTCAATCAGTCAGACAGTCAGTCAGTCAGCCAGTTAGTCAACCAGTGAGTCAGTTAGTCAACCAGTCAATCTGTTAGTCAGTCAGTCAATCAGTCAGTCTGTCAGTCAGTCAGCCAGTTAGTCACTCAGTCAGTCAGTTAGTCAACCAGTCAGTCCGTTGGTCAGTCAGCAAGCAAGTTAGTCAGTCAGTCAATCAGCCAGTCAGTCAGTCAGCCCACCAGTTAGTCCTTTAGTCAGTCTGTCAGTCAGTCACTCGCTCACTCAGTCAGCAAGTTAGTCAACCAGTCAATCAGTTAGTCAACCAGTCAGTCAGTCAGCCAGTCAGTTAGTCAGTCATTCAGTCAGTCAGTTAGTCTCAGTCAGTAAGTCAGTTAGTCAGTTAGTCAGTCATTCAGTCAGTAAGTCAGTCAGTCAGCCAGTCAGTCACTAAGCCACTCAGTGAGCCAGTCAGCCATGAATGAACAAGACTGTCAATAACTGCTGACTGTATAAGCCATAACGTAGATTGCATGTCTGATCTTACCTACAGTCAGTTTTACATCTTTTTATCCTCCATGTGAAAATCAAACCATGAGAACTTTGAACAAAGTTCTAAACACAGTGCTAACAAAGTTTAAAATTTGAAGTAGTTTTCAAATTTCAAATTTTGCAAAATTATGAATGATATTTTAGTTATCCATCTATTTTAATATTTTAACAAAGTTGTTGTTTGATTAAGTGCTAGGCTTGACAATTTCTGTGGCTAAAATTCTGGAGTTGTGGAGTTCAGAGACTGCCATTTAGAGTTGGAGATTTTCTTTTCAGAAACACTCATAACTTAATTTATGGCTTTTTGTTATCCTTTTTCAAAACATTTTAAGTGCAATGCAGTGTACATTGTACGTAGGGTTCTTTGAACGAGAAAATGACTTGACAGAATAATGATATGAAACTTCAATGCACATCAGTATACAAGTAAGCTTGCAGTACATTTGTCCCTTTTTGGCCAAATTAAAGCCTTTTTTTCCAAAACGTTTCCTATTTCAGCCAAACTATCAGCAAATTAATGTTGCTGACACAATGACTGTGAACTTAAATTAAAAGGTTGGCAAATAATTGGGTCATCGACAATGTGGTTCTTTGACAATGACTTTGCAATGCAATTTTGCACATGAAGGTAATTAATGTAAAACTGCTGTAAACTAGCAGAACTTAGCTCATATCTATAACATAACTGTGGCAAAACTGATCAAAAGGAAACTAATACTTATCCAGGAATAAAATGCTAAATTTATTTGGCATGATTAATTTTCAAGCCAAATTTTTAGACACACAATAAACGAGGATTATAAAATTGAATGTGCATTTTCATAGTATAATTTATTGTAAATTAGCAGTGTTTATTCAACACCTACAATGGGTTGTAGGTTGAGTGACATCCACTAAAGTTGCTCAAATTATGCTTAGTTGTCAAGATGCAAACAGTACTGCTTTGAAAGTTTTCCTTCTTTTTGTGAAGACAGTGAATTGGATGGCTTCTTGAGCTTCAAACACAGACTGCTATTTTCTAAATTAATGGTTTAGGGTCTAGTCAATTTTAACAAATGCATTTACCCATCAAATGTTCTGAGAGTAAATAGATCCAGTCACTTTATCAATTAACTGCTCTGAGGAGAAGTTCTAGATTTTGTTCAAAAACGTACTTTTTGGAAATTTTAAGCAAACATAATTTGTTTTGGAAACATCTTCTTCATAACAAATAAAGTGGAATTGACTTTGATTGCACACGAGGAATCATCAGAAATTGAAACTTTTACCTTTTACTTTTTACTTACTGATTTTCAACAAAATTGTATCAATGAATATTGTGGCAAAAAACAGTGCACAAAGGAAACTCCAAACACCTTGAATCATGAAAATGATGCAGTAAACTACTGGGTGTGCGCACACAAACCGACCCCTTAAAGATAATCCTCTATTGTTAACTCCCTTAAAATGCATCTAAATGCATTTTAATGTAATGTCCTGGATAAGATTAGTATCTCTCTTTTGAACAAGCCAGCCACATTTTATTTATCTGGTTCACTCAAGAGCTGGATTACAAAGTAAACTAAGCAGCCCTTACGGTACTGAAGTTAACCTCTAAATTATCCTAAGACTTGATCCAGTCTGTTTGTGGCATCTGCATCTGACCTGGAAGAAAAAAATCACAAATGTACATGAGCAACAGGATAAAACTATATAAAGTCAGCGGTCTCAAGTAGCCAGCTGGTTAAAATAGAGACTGTATAAAACCGTATCAACAAGGAGCCTATAAGTCCCTCTTTTCTAGGGTGGTCTTCTTCTTGGGACATGCTTCCCCAGAAAATCTTGAAATTTTAAAGCACTAAAATGCATTCGTTGGTTGTTGGTGCTTATTGAAACATTACTTACAGTGGAACCTCTGTTCAGGGGACACCCTCAGAACTGAGAAAAGTGTCGGGAATGTCCCAAAAATTGACCAACAAAGGATTTATTTAAGTTCTAGAACCTGCTGCAGTTATCAACGCAGTTACACATGTAACGTTTCTCCGAGAAATTGTTGCATTGTTGTTCCTACAATTAGTGCAGTACATCAATTTTAATTTAAGTGAGATTATTATTGTTCATGTTGTGAAAGCTGCAATCATTGTGATCATGGTACACTTTAACTTATCCACCCTCTTTGTGGTCAGTCACATTCTGAGTACTAAGGTGTCCCCTGAATGGAGGTAAAACCTGGGATTCAGGACTAAGAAAAAGTGTCCCTTTCCCCTGAATAGAGGTGTCCCTTCAACAGAGCTAACAGATAAAAAGATTATGTGAATATTTGTCGGGGCCAAATTTTGCGTTCCCTGGATGGAGGTGTCCCTTGAAGAGAGGTGTCTTAAAGAAGAGGTTCCACGGTATAATATATTCTATTTATGAGTTCAATTAAGAACCAATACTTATAAAACAGAGCTACTACTATGTCTTATATTTGTATCAATAATAATAATAATAATAATAATAATAATAATAATAATAATGTCATTCAATAAGGATAAACACATAACATTCAGACACTGACAATAATTTAATATTTATAGACCTTAATACCCTAACAGAAGTGACTACATATTATGATCAGAGATGCCCAATTTAAATGGGAGAGGTCCCTTATCAAAATGCCACCCAATTTACTAGTAACATTCTATTTTGCTATGCTAGTAGTATTACAAATGAAGGTTTACAAACCAACCTAGTGACTTGTCATCTCGTTCCTGTGGTAATGACGTCCTTTAATACAGCTGCCTCTCTATTGTTGGAGCCACTCATAAACATGCATCTAACAATCTGCCACACCCTGTTGAAATCAAAATTTTGGTATTTTTAGTGTGGCTAAAAATAATACAACGCATTTCAAAAAATTTGAACTTGATCCTGCCAACATTTGAAAACAATAGTAACTTGTCAGCAGATAGCTTCAAAAAAATACTGACAACCTTGATGGGTCAATACGGTCAGGTGATACTGGTCACCGGAAACCCTGTTTTGATAGCTGTCAATTTATCACAACATGGATGTGCAATATCAGGTTGCACCTGGGCTCCCAAATTAGCTAGAAAGTGTGAGATGGATGGTTGGGCTGTTGGTGTTTGGTCACGTGATAACCAAACTTTCTCAGATGGATAAGACTCTCTGTAACACTAACCTAAGATACACGTACATGTACATCTGTCTGCATCCAGTGCCATACAACTCCAACCACGTACATGTAGGAACCAATTCTTATCTGTTAGATGCAAAGGACAAAATGAAACAGTTTACATACAGTGTACATGTAAGAAACTTATTATCCAACACAATGCACAAGGAAGTTTGGATCACTATGTTTCTGGGCCAGAACTGCTCACCTACCCCTCCTGCACTAAGCCAACATTTTGCCCTTTAGTGAAAGTAAGTGTTAATGTTGTCCTAGGGGAGGGTAGGTTTAATTTTAATAGAAAAGGCCCTGAAAATAGGTTCAGTCTGCTGGTTACTTATTTCAGCATTCATCAAACCTTTAACTTTAAAACAAAACAGCCCAGGGCAATCAATTACTCATCATGCAGTTTCTCCAATGATTTATATATTTAATTACTAGTTATAGCTATCGCTAAGTGCCAACAAGCAAAGATTTCCGGGGCAGTGGCAGCCACAGACAGCTTTTTCGCCCTTATTGGGGCCCACCAGCGTGGCACAGCCATTTGGTTAAAGAAAGGGGAAAACCTGCGTCTCAAAAACCCCTTACTGCTGAAAAGCAGTCAATCAAGTGCCAGCTCTACACAACACATGAGGGAGCTGTTGGCTGGGAACTGCACAGCAGTTCCTCCACGACATGCATGGGGAAGGTGGATCACAAATCACCAGTAAATCAAAGCAAGGGGCACACATACGCCAACCCACGGCCTAGCCGTTACCTCATGCATGCGCACAGCCATATCATGCTGGCAGGCAGCCATGCGCAGCGGTTTTGCCCATACTGGGGCTCAACAGCATGGCATGGCCATTGGCCAGTGACCGGGAAAACGTGTGTACAAAGACCCTTTACTGCAGAGGCGAGTCCTTTACAGTGTAAGTGCCAGTTCCACACAACACATGTGAGAGCTGTTGGCTGGGAACCACACTGCAGCTCTACCACAAAATGTGCGGGGAAGGCTGATCACAGGTTTGGTGTATGTGTGCCCGTTGCTTTAATTTGTATTTTGAAAATGGTGAACTAAACTGTTCTACTATATAAAGAATTTGAAATCCCGCCTTTACGCAGCAAATTTCTCGAGATATTGAAGTTCGTGTTTTTGTCCGAAGTTGCAGACAAGTCATTTTGCGTAAAATTTAGTGGTATTATAAGTAAACTTAAAATCCTCAAAAAATCATATAAAAGTCTGCGAATATTCAAGGTACAGACTTATATTAATTTTGGTCTCTTTTTAAAGCTAACAAAATTTATGGTGTGCCAATGAAGCCTTCAGAATTATTTTGCTTCAAAGACGCAAAAAATTTTGCAGCGTTATTATTTTTCTTAGTGGCATGCAATAAAACAATTCCAGTGGGTAAATGGGCAATTCCAGAAAATATCCATACCCAACCACGGACGGCTTCCATGTTTTATCCCCCCCGTACCTTCGGAAATTCCAAAATGCGTTACCCCCCCATGCCCTCAGAATTCCATAATCGTGAACCCCCCCTCCCCTTCAGAATTTCCGTTTTTTTGGAAGTACGTTTTCAACGCATTTGCAACGCCTATATGAACAAACGAACATGAATTTATGCCTCCTCAAGGCTGTGATCTAGCGGCGCCAGGCGACAAGCTTTCAGACTCTAACCTACCGCTAGTAGACAGGCTGTGCAAACTCCTTTTTAGGTCCGAATTTGGCAATAAAAATAAACACCACTAACGGCAATTTTACTCCTCTTTGTTTTCTTGTGCTGTTTTGACGTTTACAAAGCAAAATAGCTCAAATTCAGACTGTTAAAATCTTTCGGTGGTCAAATATACCGTCGAGGCGTGTTGCGTCCTTTTATAGGTCATGTAGTGTGCACGAAAAGTGTTCTAATCTGACAGGCGTTCCTTGGAAGCCAGGGACTGGTGAGAGTTTTTTCACTGTTCATCGGATGGGAGTAACAAGAAACTTGCAAGCAGTAAGATACATATTCCATTTTTTTTTTCATGTGACAAGAAATTCATCAAGGTTAATGTGAAACCCACATTTTACTGTTCACTTCTATAAGTTATGAGTGTAAACACGTGTCTGATCTATCGATGCTTGTCTTTTGCTTCCGCGGTCATACGTTCGTGGTTTATTTACGAACTACACAAGTCCACAACAATAGCGTTTTCAAGGAACTCACTCTACACTTTCTACTCCAGAAATCCCACCTGTGGAGTTACCCCATGCCTTCGGATTTCCAATCGTAAATACCCCCCATGCCCTCAGAATTCCATAATCGTGAACCCCCCCTCCCCTTCGGAAATCCTAAAAGCCGTCCGTGGTATGGTATGGATATTTTCTGGAATCGCCCAATGCGACAGATATCGCATAGGATGAAAATGATCCACCCGACGATTGGTTGAAGACGGGATGAGCACGGGACTCACAAACACACACACGGCTCGTGGATTCTCTGATCTGTATCACGTGTTCGCTCGAAAGCAATGCATTCTCTGTCCTGCATTACGTCATGGTTGCCTTACATTACTCTATGTTACATCAATTCGAGATTTTTTCTGTCCCTGGAACAATCGCGCACGGCTCTATTAGCTGCCTCCTCGCGGCCTCGCGAGGCTGCTCATTGGCAATAAAGTCACCATAATAATTATGGTGACTTTATTCTGTACATTGTAGCAAGACAGGTTGCCAGATGTCCTCTGATGGTTTCCATTATGGTACAGATCAGATGCATGTTAAAGTTTATAACTATTCTTTTACAGTAATACTGTAATACTAACCTGAGATATCTGCTCTCAGTGTACCATGTTTTCGTGCAAACCTCACCACTTTAAACATGAAGGAACTCTAAATGCCAAAAGCCTATAAAAATGGACAAAATATAACAGTAAGGCAAAATGTCGCAAAAAAGCTCCTAATTAATTATCAAAAAAATACTTTAAGGGCACTGAATGTCAAGAACATTTCTGTTTTAGGTCAATTCTCTGCTTATCTCATTATGCTCTTTAGCCCCGTTCCTCAAAAGAAGGTTACATTGTAAGTTTAACCCAAGTTTAAGCCAAATTTTAAGCACAGTTTTCTTGTCTGTGACCAGGAAACTCAAGCTTACAACAATTATACTGTTGAGCTTTCACTCTGAGATACAGTAATGATAACACAAAATGTTATTCTAAGCAATGCACAGGAAGGTAAATACAAAAAGTGGAGCAAAATTTTAATCCTGGGTTAGCGTTAATCGGGCTTTCAAGAACCAGACCCCAAAGGGCAATGAAGAGCACATCAAACACATTTCATCAGAAAGCACTAAAATAATTGCAAACTGAATAGGCAAACTGAAATAGCAGTGCATTTTGAAGAAGGGGCGGGCTGGTGAGCACACAATGCACACTTACAACGCAAGCATGAAAGCGAAGCTTAACAGTCCAGAATATTCCAAATTTAAGGACAGACTGTTGACATCATGGAGATATTGTTCTCGAGTAAAATGGCGTATAGATTACCTAAACGACCACAGTCACCGTTTCGAGGCTCTCAGGCATATTTTTAAGACTTTTCATGGGGCATACACATTTTTTTTAAGTGGACAGCGTATCAGGAGCCATATTGGAAGTGTCTCGTGAAATATTCGGCACATTTTGTGGCTTAATTATTTCTACTTTTAAACAACGCAATATTGGCAAGATTTTGGTCGGTTTTCAAGGTAGGTGAACAAGTATCTATTATTTTTTCAATTCACAGATTTTTTACGAAGTTCTAGATATTTTTCCTTGACTGTCACATCAATTAACTCTTATCATGTTGAATGTGGGGATGCAGGTAGACAACCTAAAATTTACATACGCATTCCACTCCCGGGTTTCACGCAGAGCCGTGTTATTACTTTTTTTTGCATTGAGCCTTTGCATTTTTTCTTTTCAAGGCTAAAACAACTTTATTAGTCTTATGGATATTCACGTCCAACATCTCACCTCACTTTGCCGCATTTGCGGGGATAAAATTGAAGATCATAAGCCCAAGGTAGATATCATTACTAACCACTTTGTTTCGGAAATTCACTTAATCTGGAGAGATTTATTGTTGTTGGATTCTCCAAATGTTCATCCACAGTTAAAAAATAGTCAAAGAAAGAAGGCAAGTTTCAACTGTAAATGATGTATTTTGCTACTCATTGAACATGCACTGATTATGTGGGATAAAATTAAAACATCGCAGGTACGACAGCAAGCAAAGAAAGCACCAGATGTGTGATGTCAACACGAAACAACCCAAAAAAACAAACAAGAAAAAATAATAAATTTGTACTATTTTTTATTCTTGTTATGATGACTGGTTCTTTGATTCTTGTGCCACAGTAGTTAATAGGTAGTACCAATCCTGTTTTATACGATCTCAACAAATTTTCACACTCTCTCTATGGCTACTTTTACTTGGGACCAGTTCGCTTCTATCAAAAATCTTGCAAGCCATGCCAGTGAAGCCACGACCTCTGCAATCAGTCTGGAATCAGTTCGAACACCCCAATATTCCTTGAAAAGAATAATACTCTTATTCTCTTACATGAAATGTTTTCTTTGAAATATTAAAAGTGAAAATTACCTGGACGAGTACTGTAAGCTCATCTTAAAATCTGTCCGACTTCATCCGCTGTTGTGAAAATTAATTTTTTGATCACTGGGGCGATGTTTTGATAAACACAAGCGCACCTTCTCACTCATTGAAAAGTGCCGTGTGACCAGTTTGCCCTGTCCTCAAATTTTGGGATATTCCGAACTGCGTAAGGGCTACATCACAATTAAACTGTACAAAGTGGCAGAAGCACACACTTCAACTAGGGCAAAAATAGTTCTTACAAAATAAATTCAGTGCTGAGCTAGCTGCTGCGCTTGTAATAATCATTCCAATTATAGGAGCATTGAGAAAAGACCATGCGAAATTTCATGCAAAGAACAATGTTAACTGCTATACTGAAACACATTTCAACATTGAAGAGAATGCCTGCTTCCAGTGGAATTCTACAAGACAGTGTTCAGACTAAATGGCCTAGACTTTAATGGCTACTTCGAGGATGGTAAAAGTGAAAACACTTAAAAGCCAACCATCCATACAAGATGCAAATGAAATCAGCTTAAGTTTTAACTCCCTTAAGTACTCCTTCTTTGTGAAAATCATCAAAGACTGGAACAATCTACCAAACCACCTCTTTACTAATGAAATCAGATTGTCCAACTTTTTAAGTATGCAAAATTATTGGGATATTTTTCAATCACCGACGAGTCACAGAAGTGCTGATTGGGTGAGCCACTTGGCAGGTCTGGGTTTTTTTTGCCCAAGAAAATTTTGAAATCAGAAAAGATCTGAAAAGCTATTTCTAGTGTTTTGAGAGGACAATTTTGTCTAAAATGTTCGCTAAATCGCGCAAATCGATTGCCATTCTTTGCCTAATTTTATTTGCATGTCTTCACGTACAACTACTTGATTTAGTTACTATTTTGTGCAGTTTTAAAGTTTTCTGGACATCATACTCTGTTAGGTGTTCTTGTATAAGTATCATAAGGATTAATTTGAAAATATCAGCACAGATGTCAAAATCGTGATTTTTCCATCCCGATCCTATATCCATCGCAATTCGGGATTTTCAAGGAAAATCGGGAGATTCTTGAAAAAGACCAGGGTAGTTGGACAGTCTGTGAAATTAATGTTAACAAATTTAAAAGGCTTTAAAAGGTGGATGAAAATTTATTGACAAAATAGCTGATATTTTAACTGTATATAATTATTTTCACATTAAATATCATTTGTACTATACCATTTTTCACCTGTATTTTTTATGTTCAAGTTTATGGTAGCATAAACTGTTGTTAATAAACCTGAGAATGATGCCCTGTGAAAGCACACTTAGGGCATACTAGCAACAATCATATCTTGGTTCTTATGTCACACAACGTGAACATTTGTATAAGCTTTTGTACTCAGTAATGGTAGATACTAGTTCAAAGTACAAGAAAGAACAATGAACACTAAGTAGTTGTTTGATTACAATGTATCCTTCTTCTTTGGCAAAGTCCACTGTAATGTAGCATGATATATTCCTAGACTCCACAAAGGTTCCATTCATATTATCACATGCTTATCATGCACGTGTGCTCCTCTTTTTGCCGCACACTGTCCTTTCCCAGTCAGTTCGTTTAGAGCTTCGGTTCATTCACAACAGCTTGTTTTCCCTCCCACCCACCCCTTTGTTCTGACTGGAACCTTTGTTCAGTTCTTCGATTACTTCTTATGTGCCCTATATATTTCAAATCAAATCAAAATCTTTATCTCACTTCGCATTCCAAAAGATAGCATCAACTAATGCTCATAATATGAAAGTATAGCAAAAACTTCTCCGAAGGTATAGCAAAAACAAATAGAATATAAATGACACTGGTAATTAGAATAAAGTAAGACTATATATTACATACAAGTTTACAATAATGCAGAAACAAGACAATTATTTTATACAGTGTGTCTACAGTACCTAGCGATAATTAAAACTAATTACAAAGCAGCAGCATTTATTATGACTTATTAATGCTCTTAATTTTTTGGATTTGAAAATGTGTAATGATGCAGCAGTTCTAAGTACCTCTAGGAGCATATTCCAATATGGGCTGGCAGAGTAGCAGAGTAGCAGTATTTAGCACGACCAGAACATATTTTAAGCAGATCATTACCTTATTCCCTCTATATATATATATATATGTATCCGTAAGATTAATCATTTATATTATGGTGTTATACTCGACTAGGTCTGATTCCTTCATTAGGTTCCTGGGATATGAAACTGCTGTCTGGCTTCCAAATAAAAGGAGTGGCAGGGAAGTGCAACCCCTGGCTGCACTTTACCCCACAGTAAGGCTTAGCCCTTGGAGACAGGTCCGGAAAAAATATCCACTCCAGGGTGTGGACCCCCGGTCCCACCTGATCTGTACTCCACCCAGGAGGGCCACCCCTCCTGGTTCCCCTCAGTTCCTGTACTGGGGGATATGGGCCTCACCCCCGGAGACTGATCAGGACTCCTGTCCAGGGTGGCTACCCCCGGTACCACTCGATCTTGTCTCCCCCCAGGAGGGCTTCTCTCCTGGTCCCCTTATCCCTAGATTTAAGCGCTTCCCTGCCACCAGAATTTTGCCCATTACCCTTTGTGTGTTTTCTATGTGGTACTGACATAAGCATTTATGCGGGAAAAACACTGCCAATTGGAAGAGTTTATTAATGTTTATTTTTATATTTTTAAAGTTCAGTTTGGGGACGTTTTATTGGGATAACCTCATGGTCCTCCTTTTCAAATATGTATCATGTTTACATGTATCCATGTATGTATTTAAATAAAGACTTATTATAAAGACTATTGTTCATGTTTCATGTATTTACAAAGGATCCTATGAAGTGGTATCGGGATAAAAAATATCTTGAGAGCTACGTTTGTATTTTCTCTGTCTTCTTGTCTACTCATTCTGTCATCTTGCTGATTTGTCATGTCAACTTGTCTACTTGTTGTGTTGCCTTGTCTACTTGTTCTTTCGTCTTACCGATTTGTCATTTTATCTTGTCTAATTGTTGTGTCTTCTTGTCTAACTGTTCTGTTGCCTTGCCAATTTGTCATGTCACTTGTCTACCTGTTGTGTCGTCTTGTCTACTTGTTCTGTCATCTTACTGATTTGTCATGTTGTCTTGTCTAATTGTTGTGTCGTCTTGTCTACTTGTTCTGTTGCCTTGCCGATTTGTCATGTCATCTGTTGTGTCGTCTTGTCTAATAATTGTTCTGTTGCCTTGCTGATTTGTCATGTCATTTGTCT